ACTCACTACATACGACTCACTACTCACACTACTCACTACTCACTATTCCTACTCACTACGCACTACGCAATACCCGATACTCACTACTCATGAATCACTAATCGCCACCCACTACTCACTACCCACTACTCACTACCCACTACTCATTACTTCCTACTCCCTACTCAGTACTCACTACTCGCTACTCGCAACTCACTACTCACTACTCGCCACACACTACTCACTTATCAGTACACACTACTCACTATTCACTACTCACTACTCCCCACTCCCTACCCCCTACTCCCTACTCGCCACTCACTACCCAATACTCACTACTCACTACGCACTAACTCACTACTCACTACTCCCCACTCCCTACTCCCAACTCCGTACTCCCTACAGGAGGGGGGGGTCCGAACCCCCCCACACCCTTTCCAGCGCCAAGGGGGGGAGGGGGGGGGGGTCGGGACCCCCCCCCCTCCCCCCTTAAGGGGGGGAGGGGGGGGAGGGGGGGGGGTTCTGGACCCCCCCCCACCCCTTTAGTGTATGTATTCAGGGAGATCCACTGGCGCACTTTCCCTAAGAACCCCACGAGGCCCTCAAGACTTGCCCATGGCACTCCAGCGCTTCCCAGGATTCCCTAGTACGCCGCAGGACGCGCCATAACCCATGACACCGCAAGGCCCAGCCCCCGGCCCCGAAAAGAGGGGGAGGGGGTGGTAGCCTCCAAGCCCCCCACTTAGGTAGGCCATCTGAAGTTGGGGTCGTCGTCGTAATTGACCGCCACCTTAGGGGCCTCGATGTCCAGCGCAACCTGCCGCGCGGCGGCCATCACGTTCTCCGCTGCCGCGGCCTCCAGATGTCAATCTCCGAAGGCGTCGTCGACAGGCCCGCCGGCGGCAGAGCCCAAGGGCCACCAGGAGCAGGCTGAAGAGTACAGCCTGGGTCTGGCAGCTCGAGGGCGCCAGCGGGGCCCTCTCCGAAGCTGGCGCCGCCCGCAGTAGCTCCAGCAAGTCGGCCGCGCCCCCGCAGCCGACAGGCGCAGGCCCCAGCCAGGGCGACTGCGCCGAGCAAAAGGCCGCCCAGGCCCACCCAAATGCCTGTCCAGCCGCCGTCGCAGCTGAGGGGCGGGCAAGCCAGCAGCACCGGCGCCGGGCACGCCGGGATCACCGGCGGCGCGCACGCCAGGCCAGGCCGGGCAAGAGCAGGGAGGGCACACGTCCTCCTCCCAGGTGCAGTGGCCAGTGGCCGACCCGCTCCAAGGGGTCGAACTCTGGCGCCGCCGGCGCGAACGAGCCCAGCCACGAGCTCGCGAAGCCGCCCAGCCAGGCAGCGATGGCAGCGAGAGGGCTGGCGCGAAGCATGCACCCTCATTCGGCTCGCCGAGCCGAAGCAGCTTGAGCCAAAATGACGTCGGGGGCGGCTACGATAGTGGAGCGACACTGTGACACACATGCGTGTGTGTGTATATATATATATGTATATATATGTATCGGAGGTGAGGGGGTGAGATCGAAGTGGAACGGAGAGCCCCCCTACCGGGAAATCGATTTCGGTTTCGTGTTCGTGCGTGCCGTGCGTGCGGGCGAGGCGAAGCTGCGTGGGCGGGCGAGAGGAAAGTCTCCTGTGGCTGAGGCGCGGCCGGACCAAATGATTCTCCACCAGGCGGCCGGTGGCGCGCGGTGTCCCGCCGGTGTCCCGGTGGTGTCCTCTGTGGCTGAGGCGCGGCCGGACCAAATGATTCTCCACCGGGCGGCCGGTGGCGCGCGGTGTCCCGCCGGTGTCCCGCGGGCGTCCCGTCGGTGTCCCGTCGGTGTCCCGATCATGATGTTGATGATGATGATGATGATTATGATGATGATGATGATGATGGTGATGATGGTGATGATGATGGTCATGATGATGATGTTGATGATGGCGATGATGATGATGTTGATGATGTTGATATTGATGATGAAGATGATGATGACGTCGATTGCGAGATCGATTGTGATCGGTAGTGAGACCGAATGTGAGACCGAATGTGAGATCGATTGTGAGATCGATTGTGAGATCGATAGTGAAATCGATAGTGAGACCGAATGTGAGATTGATTGTGAGATCGATTGCGAGATCGATAGTGAGAGCGAAAGTGAGACCGAATCTGAGATCGATAGTGAGATCGATAGTGCGATCGATAGTGAGACCGAATGTGAGATCGATCGAATGAGATCGATGGTGATATCGATAGTGATATCGATAGTGAGACCGAATGTGGGATCGATTGTGATATCGATTGTGATATCGATCGTGAAATCGATAGTGAGACCGAATGTGAGATTGATTGTGAGATCGATTGTGAGATCGATAGTGCGATCGATAGTGAGACCGAATGTGAGATCGATTGTGAGATCGGTTGTGATATCGATCGTGAGATCGATGGTGAGACCGATTTTGAGATCGATTGTGAGATCGATAGTGACATCGATAGTGAGACCGAATGTGAGATCGATTGTGATATCGATGGTGAAATCGATAGTGAGACCGAATGGGAGATCGATAGTGAGATCGATAGTGAGACCGAATGTGAGATCGATTGTGAGATCGATTGTGATATCGATAGTGAGATCGATGGTGAGACCGAATGTGAGATCGATTGTGAGATCGATCGTGAGATCGATAGTGAGACCGAATGTGAGATCGATTGTGATATCGATAGTGCAATCGATAGTGAGACCGAATGGGAGATCGTTAGTGAGATCGATAGTGAGACCGAATGCGAGATCGATAGTGAGATCGATAGTGATACCGAGAGTGAGATCGATCGAGTGGGACGTTGGTCCCTCCCCCCTCACCTCCTTATCACCCGAAGGGTGGTCGTATAGGTATCATTATATATAATATGTGTGCGTATACATGTATATGTGTATATATGTATATAAATATGTATATCTGTATATATATATATAGGGGGGGGGGGGGGGGGGCTTCGTTTTTTTTCTGGTTGTTCAGCCGTCGCTCGTTGTTTTGTGTTGTCATGTTGTGTTTTTTTCGGCCCTCAACTGGAGGAAGAAGAAACTGGAAGATGAGAACGGAAGAAAAATCGGAGTCGGAGTCGGATGCCTTGGCAGCTGTCTGCATTCGTTCCTCGATGCTTGGGCTGCTGGCTCGCTACAAGGGCTTTGCGAATAGGGTCGCCTGCGGGCCCCCTGTGGGAAGAGAACGCACCTATACCCCTACGCTGCGTCCCATCCAAGATGACCACGATCAGGAGCAAGAGGAATTCGCCGATCAACACTAGAAACAAACCACAATGATCACGCAGCCGCTGTGAGGCCTTATGTCCCGCTTCAGCGCAGGGCCTAGCCAGAAAATAACGACAACACAAATATGAAGCCTTTTTTTCCGGCGGGGGCTTAGGACCAGGCCAATCACCCCCGACTCGGGGTATGTGCCTGCGCTCGGCTGTGATGCAACGCCAGTCCGTACCCCCCCCCCTGCCCACGCTCCCCACTCCCACATCCCCCCTCTCCGATCCACTATCTACAAGCAGGCCTCTATAGCGTTTGGGGTCTTGCGCGGGGCCAGGCGGACAGGCTTCACGGAGCGAAAGTTGGCCCAGGGCCAGGAACATGGAAGAGGAAAAAGGGGGGACACGAAAACTAATCGCACAAGCGAGAGCGTCTTTACTGCTGCACTGAACCCTCACTGAACCCTCCCTGGTCACCTGCTCATTGAACCCTCACTGGTTGTATAATCTCCTCATGAGTTCGATCGCTCTCGAGCTTCCCCGTCCTGCCATCAGCCTTAGGCCGTCGAGGTTCACCCCATCTGCGCTTGCCTGGCCCTGAGCGCGGCCTGGAACTGCCGCTCAAGCCCCGATGGTGGCGGAGCTCCGACGAGGAGGAGGAGAGGGAACGAGAGAGAGAGAGAGAAAGGAGAGGGACAGGGAACGAGAGGGGGATATAAAGAGAGAGGGAGAGAGAGAGAGAGAGACACAGCGAGAGAAATACATAATAACAACGATAGGGAGAAAGAGAGAGAGAGAGAGAAGGAGAGAGAGGGAGAGTGCAGCATGATGTGAACAGAGAAGACGAGAAGAGAAGGCGGGCGCCCCTGCCTCTATTCTGTTGAGCAGTAAGAGCAGGGAAACTGATATGTGCGTGCGCCCATACACATACATCTTCCAGTGCACGTCCCGATCGCTTCAGCGCAGCATGCAACACTGCATGAGAGCACATACTATCCCATTCCCCCCACTGATCTTCCAAAACTTTCCCTGCACCCCCCCCACTCCCCGGCCCACTCCCACCACTTCGAATTCCTTCCCACATACCTGCCGCCTACCACTCGTGAAAGCATGCACCCTCCGCTTGAAATTCACCTGTGTAGGGGAACGGCCGGGAACTGATCATGACATACGTGCCCGATTCTGCACATGAGTGGGCTCGAACGGTGGCGGGCTCGGGGGCTTCCGACGCCTCCGACAGACTTGGACACCCTAGGACTACCTGCTCTGAGATCGCCCCGATGAGAAAAAACAAGACGATGCTGGATCAGAAAGAACGCAAACCCAACCGCTACCAACAGACGTGGGCCTTGAAAGCGGAACCGAATCCTGACCCATGTGCAACAAATCACGGTACCGTCGGGATCAATTTGCCCACATTTGCCTCCTGCTGATCCCGCACCGCACCTGGCCCGAACCATGGCTGTCCACTCGAGCGCCCCCGAGAGTAGATTTAGCCCCCGCCCGAGATTCCCTCAACACTGGCTTCCTCAGGGCACTGTCCAGACCAGCTCTCTCAGCCGTGCCTGACCGTGGCGGCGAGTCCCTGGGAAGCGACGGGCAGGAGGCAGGCGTGAAGACGAGCAAGCTCGCGTCTGCCCCCCCCGCCCCCCCCCTCGCAGCCAGAGCCGCGGCAGTCCATCGGGCCAGGCGGCCGCGACGTGAGGCTGCGAGGGTCGATGCCGAACGACCGTGGCGGCGCCGAACGACCGCCCGGGCATGCCAGATTCCCAACTGGCGGCCCAGCGACCGCCCGGTCTTTGCGCCGCACTATGGTGCCCGACTCCGCCTCCTCCATAGCGCGCTGCTCCTCTTGGGCGCCCATCGGTGGCATGGGGAGGCGAGGGGAAAAGAGCCGAGGCAGAGGGGAGTCAGCAGGGAAGGAGGAGGACGGGCGAGGGGACGGATAGGTTGATGGAAAGAAGCGGAGGAGGCGGAGGAAAATGATGAGGAGGAGGAGAAGACGGAAACGCTCGAGGCGGCCCACCCTTCGGCTAGCACTGTTTGATCTGGGAACTCTGACGAGACTCAGGAGGCCCCGTAACACTTGGTGGGGCCAGGGCGATCTGAACAGGCAAAAACGTCTCGCTGCGAACCTTGAGGGGCCCCGTCGCAATCACTCATATCCTGGTTACGAAGGCAACCAATCGAACTCCAGAGTCCCAGCTGCATCTCGGCCTCTTGGCAGGACCACCACTCCCACGGCGGTGTGACCTTCTGGCTCCAGCGCTATGTGATAACAGACGACGCAGAATTCGCGGCGGGGAGGCGTAAATGATTTAGAATACGAGCTCTTCCAAAGGGACCGTAAAAATGATGTTCTCCTTTGGGCAGGGTTTTGACCTTCCACTACCCCCTCCACGGGGATTCGCCGCACCCACAGCAATACCCTGCCACCCTCCGCACCTGCAAAGACCCCTGCAACCCCCTGCAAAGCCATGCAAACTGGCCCCTGTAAAACCACACTGGAACACTGGAACACCCGGCAACGATCCTGCAAACCCAGACTTCTGGAATGACCTTGCAAAACCTTCCTCCGTGAACCCTTCTACCGATGTCGATGGGCGGCCGTATTCCGAGCGGCGGCCGGGTCCGTCCCTGGGACCTCGAGAGAGAGAGAGAGAAAGAAAGACAAAAACACATGATGGAGAGGGAACGGTTTAACGTGGAGCATGAAGAGCATAGAGCAAAGCACGGAGGGTCTATACATATAATGGCCATATCTATGATGACCAAAACACGAAGAAGAGAGCAAAGAGTGGAGGCTGTTGAAGAAAGCGGAGGGTGGAGTGCAAAGACAACACGTATCGGGTGAGGGCATAGGAAAAGACAGCAAAGAGGATCACCAACATGCGGCTGTTCTGCTTATACGCTTCGTGAGAGCAACTGCTTAGGCTTCCCCTGGCGAACTTCATCTCTGGGGCTGCGCCATTCTGGGGTGACCGTATCTAGGACACTGTCTCTTTGTACGTTGTTCATCTGCGCTCTTGTATGGTCTCGACAGTGCTCTGGCTGCAACGTGCCCGAAGACTAGCTCGAAGGCATCGTCTCGTCGCGGCTGGTCCAGCTAGAACTTTGACCTCTGATCACAGCCACTGTGTGGCTTAGATCCGCCGCTGTGAGGGGAAGAAGAACGCCTAGGTCCGTCAGGTACGGTGTCTGTAATGTTCGAAGAGGTCCCCCCTCTACCAGCGGACTGGTGCGTGCACTCCGGCCCTCTCCCGAGACACCGACCCTCGTAAAAACTTATCCAAGTGAAAGACCCAACCATATACACTTGTGAGTGACGCATTGTGGGTACACTTTTCGGTAGGGCTCCCAATGGGGCCGCGAGGCGTGTAAAAGGGGGTGCCGACATGGGCGGGGGAACCGCTTTCGAAACCTGCCTTCTGGAAGCTTCGGTGGGGCTCCGAATGGGGCCACGAAGCGTGTGAACGGTGTGCCGAAATGGGTGGCGGAACCGCGTGCGAAACCACCCTCCAGGGGGTTTTTGTGGAGTTCCCTGGGGGCACGAAGCGTGTGAAAGGTGTGCCGACATGGGTGGGGAAACCGCGTGCGACCCCCCTCCCGGCCTAGGATTTTCGGTGGAGCTCCTTTTGGGCGAAAAAAACCCGTGCGACATCCTCCTGGAGGTTTCGGTGGAACTCATTGTGGGGCCACGACATGTATGAGGGGGTGCCGACGAGGGCGGGGGAACCTCATGCAACCTCCCACCCCCCTCCTTGGGCCTTCGATGGGGCTCTTTATGGTGCCACGAAACATGTGAAAAGGTGTGCCGACATGGTCGAGGGAACCGCATGCGACCCCCCCTCCTGGAGCCTTCGGAGGAGCTGTCGGGGAGTGCCGAAGTGCGTGGGGGAACTGCATGCGAGTCCCAACAAGTGCGTTTTGGTACGATTTCGGATTGTCAAGGCGCAACAATCACTGACGGTTCTCAGATGGTAGACTTGTCACAGGCCACTTCCCGGAATGAGATTATTTCAAGGCGACCTGTGAGGAGCGAGCTTGGAAAGGCTGCACCTGCTATGCAATATCGCCTTCCGCTGTACACCCTCTGGGCTCTCCGCCAAACCGCAGGCGCCCTAGAGCCCAACCGTACAGAAAATGCGATCAACACATGCTGTGCCAAAGCGAAGCGGAAACCACAAGCACCGTCAGAATCCGCGTGGGGGGGTTGGTCTTCCCCCGAAGTCACTCCCCTGGGGCATGCTGGTGGGAGGGGTTCATAATGACTCTCCCGATCTTGCGTTTCTGGCTTTGAAAATGACTACTGATCCCTCCCATGCCGACCCCCCCCACGTCAGCGGCCCCGAGCCCATGGGTAGTCCTTCTCGTGGGCATTCTCTTTCCTGTGGCCCTTGTGCTGCCGCCACCGCTGTTCCTGACAGCAGGCGGGGCGCGCATCGGTGCATCGGACAGCTTCTCTGGGAGAGCTCGAACCCCAAAATGTGTCACTGCAACGCTTGCGCACTGCGAGTTTTCCAAGTGTGCAACGTCGCTTGGGATTTCGTCGCACGTGTGGCCAGCCAAGCATGACATTGGCAGTCGAATCGTGCATACATATGATACGCACGTATGCCGTAGACTTAAAGCATGCGCATTCGTGCGCAGTCCTCATTGGCTCAAGTGCCAATGGCATGGACCGTCCACAAAATCTAAACGTCATTCGCATGGCGTGACCCGCTCTGAAAGTCCCCCCTTTGGGGCACATCAAATTTCAGCCGACGTCCGCCGGACTTCCGCCAGCTACCGCCTAAGAAATGTCATCAACACATGGAATCACATAGGCGAGGCTGTTTCCAAAAGGACCTTCGCGGTTGCCGCGCGCATCACCCAACAGAAAACACCGCGCGCGAGCCAATACATTGCCTAAACATGCCATGTGGGCTGCCTGCAACCAGCAACGTACAAACATTTGGAGCACACCATCTCGACCGTCAGCCGCACACATTTGTTTACACACGCATACAACTGGAATGGAGACATGTATGAGAGCGTGGGCCCCAACCACTAACTCATTGCACTGTGCATGTGTCATCCACGTGCAGCAAAATACGTGGCGCAAGCTATTTGGTGCAAGTTGTGTGGCGCGAGCTATGTGGCCCAAGCTGTAAACAAATGCAGCGCAAGCTATATGGTGAAGGCTACGTGCAGTCACTTACGTGGTGCAAGCTTTGTGGAGGAAGGTTTGTGGTGCAAACTACGTGGTGCAACATATGTGGTGTAATTTATGTCGACCGTCTTGAGGTCGTCAATTGCTCGTGTAGAACCCCCATTCACCCACCCGCAACACTTTCGGCGGTTCTCGTCGACTGGAACTTGCTCGCGCGTCACTACGGCCGCACTGACGCGCGCATGCTCGCGCGCAGGGCGACCAGCTGGCTAAGCACAACCGATGCGGCTGCGATGATGAACTTCTCAGCGCGTCTCAAAAGGCCGCGCTGGCGCTATGGTACTTCAGTGCGGGTCGGTGTCTCGGGCAGGCGCGATGGCATGATGACGTCGACAACGGCGGCTACGAGAATGATGATAATGATGCTGCAGATGTTGGTGGTGATGATGATGATGATGGTGATGCTGATGATGCTGACGCTGATGATGATCATGGTGGTGGTGGCTGTGGTGATGATGATGGTGATGAGAACAACGATGATTATGATCATCATCATCATCATCATCATCATCATCATCATCATCATGTCCGCTGCGATCACATCTGCAACTTTCGCATTGGATCGCCGATGGGTTTTGAATTGTTTATGTTGAAACGCTTGCAACAATAAGGTGTTTGTTATGATTTCGACATGTGTGGCCGCGCCGTTTGTTCTCGACGCGGACAAACGGACGACGCCGACACCTCAGCAAATCCACGGCAAGCCCTGCGTCCGCCCCCAAGGAGACGCAACTGGCGCCGCGGCAAACGCCACGGTAAGCTCTGCGCCCGACGCGAAGTTTGCCCTGGTGGCCGAAGCGCCCTCCCCAAGACGTAAGACCGCGTGTCGGAACATGCGACGCGGCGACATGTGCGCGCGCGTGTGGGAGTTGTGGAACTTTCTGCAAAGGATCCTTTTGAAGAGATCGTCCGAGATAAACGCATGCGCGCATTGCATCATTTGACAAGGAATAAACAGAGGGGTCGAAACTGGCCAGGGTAGCAGCAGGGGTCAAAGACTTCCTCTCACCAGAATGTTCTCCGGGGGGGCCAGGGGGGGCGTCTGACCGGCCCGGCGGCGCGGCCCAGAATCGCCTGGCGGCGCGGCCCAGAATCTGCCGGCAGCGCTCACTATGGCGATCTGGCTCGATTTGGCCCAGACATGCGACTCACTATGGTGTTCTGGCGCTCAGTATGGTCCAGCGGCGCGGCCCGGAATCTGCTGGCAATGCTCACTATGGTGTTCTGGCTCGAAGATGGGCGGCGCAGACCTGCTGAGGTGCGACGGCACCCAGCGAATATGACACTTGGCCCTTAGACGTCGGGTAAAAATCGTGACTCGCCATGGCGCTCCAGGCTCTGCAACTCCGTGTACACTTCGGCGTGGTTGCCGACCTTGCTCAGCTCCTCCTCGCTAAGCTCCTCGCCATTCTCCTGGGGCGGGCCAGGGAAGGCTGGATAGGGACGCTAGCAGAGAGCGAGGCGGCCCGGGCGCGACCACAGGCTGAGCTGCAATGGAAAACGAAGCTATGCTACTTCCCATTGATTTCACCAGGCCCAACCACAGAGCGACATATCTACAGAGCAACAGTGCTTCATCTTGCAAAACAGAAACATTAAACCACACTGCGTTCCCAACATGAACGTATGCGTATGCTCACACAGATACGGTAACCCTGTCAGCGACGCAGAACTTGGAGGGTGGGTGCAACTTCCGGTGATCGATTGGCGTCGGACCGTATTCCCGATATATGCATATATATATGCATACACGATATACTACATATAAAATACCGTGTGTATATATACTACTACTACTACCACCACCACCACCACCACCACCACCACCACCACCACCACCACCACCACCACGACGACGACGACGACGACGACGACGACGACGACGACTACTACTACTACTCCTGCTACTACTACTACTCCTACTACTACTACTACTACTACTACTACTACTACTACTACTACTACTACTACTACTAACTACTACTACTACTACTACTACTACTACTACTACTACTACTACTACTACTACTACTACTACTACTACTACTACTACTACTACTACTACTACTACTACTACTACTACTACTACTACTACTACTACTACTACTACTACTACTACTACTACTACTACTACTAGAACCACGCGCGCGCTTCGCGCGCGCTTAGGTTCTAGTCGACCCCATCCCTTGAGGAGGTCCCGTATCCACTGAAGTGATTACCCATTGATGGTGTAAGCATGAGGTACAAGAAGCATCCATAATGCTGGCCGAACAGAACCCAAGCACCGACAATGACATATGCTCCTTAATCCGCCGACCCTGTCGGCGTGTGTGAGGCGCTCTTCCGTTTGTCGTCGTCGGTGTCGTCGTCGACGTCGCCGTCGTCGTTGTCGTCGTCGTCGCCCTCGCCATCTTCCCCCTTTCCCCGGGCCCTCTTCCTCAACCGATCCAGCCAATGCGAAATCGAATCGAACAACGAAGGGAAGCACCTTCCCTTGATCCCTTCCGCAGCGGGGGGGGCGTCCCGGGGCAACTCCCGGGGGGTGGTCCCGCCAGGTGGTCTCGGGGGGTGGTCCTGGGGGGTGGTCCCGGGGGGTGCCCTGGGGCCCGTGGGGCTCCTGTTATTGTTTTGCCGATCCCGAATATGTGGCGGAGGGTCCCCGGGACCCCCCCAAGAACCGGGGGGAGAGAGCCTCTCCTCCCTTCCCCCCAGCGCCCCCGCTTTGCTCCCCCTTCCAAGCGTTCCATGCTCCCCCTGTCCACAGGAGGGAGCCCTCCCCCACGGGCCAGTCCCCCCCTCCACAGGGGGGAGCGACCCCCCTTGGTCGTCGTTGTCGTCGTCGTCGTCGTCGCCGCCGCCGTTGTCGTTCAGGGTCGGCGGCACCGGCAGTAAGGCCTCTCCAGTATTCAATTCGAAGCTACGCAAGCCAGTTTAGCCAAACACATGCAAGGCTATGAATGCAATGCAAAGCAAAGGAAAGCGATGCTCATAAGTGCAATGTGGATCACGAAAAAATGCAATTGCACATGCAACGGAAAGCAGCCCAGTGGAATGCAATGTAATACAATGCACGATAAGACAAAAGACCGAGAGAGTCCGAGGCGTCACGGAACTCAGAGATCCCAGGGACGAGCCCCCTAGTTCTCCGAGAGAGGCTAAGGGGGGCCCAAGCGTGGCCCCGAAAGAGCTCCAAGCAGGCTCCAGAACGAAGCACAGGAGGGCCCCAAGAGGCGCCCCAAGAAAGCCCGAAGATAACGACAGAAAGAGAGGGTCCAAGGAAGTGCCTCCTCAGCGCGACGAAAAAACGCAGAGGCCCACAATGAGCCCCAAGAAGGGCGTTCTCAACAGCCCCATCCCTTGCGAAGGTCACAGCTCCACTGAAGCAGTGACCCACAACTGGCTTGAGCTCGAGGTAAAAAAATACCGATCATGCGGATGGAAGCGAGACCTGAGGCCCCAGATGAAAGCGGGGTTCACATGGCGCCCCCCCCTCAATTTCGGCACGGCACTCACACGGATCTTGTCCGCCTGGGAGCTCCTCTTTCGGGTCCAGGGACAAAATTCACACGGCGTCGCTCCGCCCATCCCGGCACACCCAACACACGACTCGTGCCCCAGAGGGATGTCGTTTCACGTGCGGCCTTAATGTGGGGATTCGCATAACGTCACGTCCCCTCCACGCGTATGTCGCCTGTCTCCTCACACGAATCGTATCAACAGGGAGCTCCACCGACGGTTCCAGAGCCAACGTTCGCATCCCGCCGCCCCGCCCATGGCAGTAAATGCACCCCTGACCTGGATCGTGAGTTCGGGGCGTCTTAGGTGCTTCTGTGGGCCACGCGGCATGTTTCTGTGAGGCCTCTGAAGCCCTGAGATGGATCGTGAATCGGGAGCCTCTTGAAGCCTTTTCTGGGAGCCTCGTGCAGGACGTCGAAGCGAGACCTCCCATACGCTTACGGGTGACCACTGGGAAGCCTCCTGGGACCGTTTTGGGAGCGTTTTGGGAGTCTCTGGGGGCCTCTTGGGACCTTCTTGGGGGTGCTTTTGGGGCTCTTTGGGGCTCTTTGGGGCCCTCTTGGCCCGTCCCGGGGCCCACTTGGACCGTCTTGGGCGCTTGGGCCGTCTTGGGGCCCTCTTGGGCCGTCGAGGGTGCCTCCTGTGGCCCTCTTGGGGCTCCCTGGTCACTCTTTTGGGAACCTCTGGGGACCGTCGTGGGCCGTCGGGGGGCTCTCATGGGCCGTGTTTTTTTTGGCCACGACTCGTGCCCGAACAGGATGCAGCCTTCCCCAGGCGCAGCCTTCCCCGAATCCGCATGAAAAGCTCTGGTCCCCTTTTCCATCATCCTTTTTCCCTCCTCCTTCTCCTCCTCCACCATTACCTCCTCCTCCACACACCCCTTCCTCCCCATCCTCCTCCTCTAACTCCTACCTGGCCGTCGAGCAACAGGTGTCGGCAACGACAAAAAATGCTAAACCTGCCCAGAGTTGCGCGTGCCCTCGACCGTCGAGGACCCAAGAGGGGATATGTTTGGACGTTTTCGGATCGAACCTTTTCCCCCTCCCCAACCCCCTTCCCCCTCCAAGCGGCGAGCCCAAGGCGGCACAAAAACATGTTCTGGCAACGGGCGAGCGCCGACAAAAGCACGCAGGGTTCCGTGCCAGCGAATGCCTACCCGCCTGCGCCCAGAACTCCTGGTCGTTCCTTGTCGCGCCTCCTACCTGGCCGTCGAGCAACAGGTGTCGGCAACGACAAAAAATACTAAACCTGCCCAGAGTTCTGCGTGCCCTCGACCGTCGAGGACCCAGGAGGGGATATGTTTGGACGTTTGCGGATCGAACCTCTTCCCCCTCCCACACCCCCCCCCTTTCCCCTCCAAGCGGCGCGCCCAAGGCGGCGCAAAGGTAGGCACGCCGGCTTCCGTGCTAGCGAGTGCCTACCCGCCTGCGCCCAGAACTCCTGAACGTTCCTTGTCGTGCCTCCTACCTGGCCGTCGCGCAACTGTATAACAGGCGTCGGCGTCGACAAAAATTGCTAAACCTGCCACGAGGTGCCCGTGCCCTCGATCACCGAGGATCAAGGATGGGATGTGTTTCGACGTCTCGGTTATCCTGGGCCGGTTAAAAACTTTTCCTCTTTGAACTTCAATCGTTCGGTTCGTGTTCCCCCCGTCTCTCTGCCCTCGCGATACCTTTTCCCTGTTGCTGCGCAAAGCCTTCTTGCCCGCGACACTGCGACGTCCAGAACAGCGGACTCAGCGATTCTAGGAGAGGGTGCTCCTAGGGGTGGGCCCAGCACGGCCACTTTGGTTCACTGCGCTCGCCAGGGGCCGACCCAGGGCAAGCGCAACCATGGATGCTAACAAAGACGGACCGAACGAGGCCCCTTAAAAATGATGGGTCGAGCGATGCCTTCGTGGTGCACTGCGCGAAAAGGACGAAATCCAGCACGCGGCGGTGCGAAGACGGGGGCATGGCGAGGGGGCGGGCGTCGCCAAGACGGCAGGCAAGCTGCCGGAAGCGATCGGGCGCGCAGGTGCGTACACCCAGACATCCAAAGGGGCGCCTTGCGTGCTCGACGCTACCTTTTTTTGTTCCAAAGGTCTGGCTGGCGCGGGACCTCACGCGTTGAACCGAGTGCCGTGCCCCTCGTCCCCGGTCGCCGTCTCGAGGCGATGGATCTTCCTCTCTAACGACTCATACTCTTCCCTCAGACTATCAGGTATGTCCAGTTGACGCATTAACGACTCAATTGACGACTCATACTCTGCCCTCATACCCGTCCCTGGCGGTATCTGCAGTTGACGCGCTATTTGCTGGAAGCGCAGTCTGGCCGAATTCAGCTTCTTCTCCCGAAACCACTTCGCCCACTCCTTAGCTTCGGCCAGTTCCGCCGTGAGGAGACACTCCTTCTCCTCCCACTTCTTGATGATGTGGAGATACTCCTCCGGACGCGGTTCTTGCAATTTACTCTCGATTCGCATTCGGGTCTTCGCCCGAGTCGACTTCGCCCACTCCAACAAATTGGCCAGGTCTTCGCGCATCTCCGCTGCATCCCGCTGCGACTCCGCGCGCCGCATGCTCAGCCGCCTTGAGGCGGCCTTAAACTCGTCCCGCACCTCCTCGCGGAAGGCAGAGGTGAGCATGCAGCCTCCGAACTTGCAGTGCAGCTGCAGCGGGGCTCCGTCCACTACGCGCCCCACATCCAGCGCGGTGAACGGAGGTAGAAGCCACTCGCGCTCCCCGGGATACGCGCTCAGCTCCATCATCGGGGAGGCGTAGGCGATGCCGGATATGGTGAAGAGCACGTTGTTTTCCTTGGGCGCCTGCTGGTTGCAGTGCGCCTCGGAGATCGAGGCGTCGACTGTCGTGCTGGAGGGCGCCGCCCAGAAGAAACGGTCGCCAGCGGCCTTGGCTCTGAAGCCATCGACTAAGGAGCTGGGCAGGCCGCACAGGCCGCGCGTTACAACCATGGGCTTCTCGAGCGTCTTCGCCGAGAGCCCCAAGAAACACACCCGCCGGATCCATGCTCTCAGGCCGCCCAGGGCGTCCTGCCGGTCGCCGGCGCTGTCAAAGCAGACGCGGGAGGCCCAGTTCGCCACCTGGAACATTTGTGGATTTCGCTTTCCGCCTACTTTCTGCCTGTGCTCGCTGTAGAACTCGTCGCGCAGGGCGGGCTCTTCCAGGCCCTCTGGCAGTTCTGGGGCGTCTTCAAAGCAAAACAACCTGTCGATGTCGACGTCCTGCATGGTATACAGAACCAGAGTGGCGATGGCCAGCAATTCGTCCTGCAAGTCCTCATTCAGTGGCCTCGCAGAGTATTTGTCGCGCAGCCGCTTGCACACCTCTGCGAGGAGCTGGATCTGCAACGGCGTCGCGTCGCCCGCAGGCCCAGTCTCCTTCAGGTTGTCGAGTAGCTCGTCCAGGATCGTGCCGGGCTTCTGCGAGTATAGCTGCTCAACAAGAGTCATGAACCATGTGACCTGCGTCTCTTGGATCTCCGCCGATATCCGCGCGGCTCGGAACTTGGCGGTCAACCCGGCGCCCGCGATCTTGCCCACAGCGTCCAGAATCCACGCATTCTGGGTCTCGATCGCCGTGACCTGCGCCATCAGCCTCTTCAGCTCATCCAGCGCGAAATCGTCTGACTGCTGCGCGCGCTCTCTGGCCTCCGCTCTTTTCCCTTCTGCCCACGCCCTCGCCTCTTCGATCTCCGACTCGAAGTCCTTGCGCAGCATCTCCAAGCGCTTCCTCGCCTGCTTCTGTCGCTCCGCCGCCGCGGTGGCCCTGGCCTGCTGCTCCAGCCTCTCCTCTGCGGCCTTCGTCGCCCTCTTCTGGCGCTCGGCTTCCGCTTTCGTCAGATCTTCTCGGATTGAGGCCTCGTCTTTGAGAAAATAAACACTGTAACTAAGGCCCGATTTCTTGCACTTCTGCAACTCATGCCAGCACGTGACGCTGTCAGTGATAGGCATGCCGTTGACCATGCTGATGCTCCAGCCTGGCCGCACGCCCAAGAATCGGGCCTGGCACGACACGCGTTCCACAATGGTAGTTCCCTGGGTCCAAACGAGACCGTGCGCGCCCATGGCGAACTCGAATTTAACGATGCCTGGCTGCAACGGCGTGTCCGACAGTTCACCTGGCATACCCGCTGATATAGGACTCTGAACCATGCGCTGTCGTGTCCGTGCGCTGCTCGCGCTTGAGCCAAAATGGCTTGAGCCAAAATGGCTACGGAGGGCTCTCATGGGCCGTGTTGGAGCTCTCTTGGGCCGTCTTGGGGCCCTCTTGGGGTCCTCCTGGATCGTCTTACGGCCGTAGTTGGGGCCTTTGGGTCCGTCTTGGGCGCTGTTAGGGCCGAAGAAGCGAATATGCTAAACACATACGTTTTCCGGAAGGAATTTGGCTGTTTTTGCCTTTTGGTGACCTTCTGGGAGGCCTCTTGGGCCGTCTTGAGGGCCTCTGAGGCCAAAAATATAGATTTCCAGCTGGTTTGTGAAATATTCGAATTTCTCGAAGACCTTTTCGGAAGCTTCTCGGGCACCCTTGGTGGCCTCCTGGGCTGTCTTGGAGCGCTCTTGGGGTCCTTTTGGTGCGTCTTGGAGAATTCTTGGGCCATCTGTAAACAATCTTGGGCGGATTTAGGGCTGCTCTGAGCCTCGGGGGCGGGTCCCGGAGGGCTCCTGGGAGGGGGGCACTACCTATGTACAAGGGGGGGGGGCCCTGCGGGTTCCCGGGGTCGGAATCCCCCATATATGTATATACATGCATACACACCTACATACATACATGCATAGATGCATTCATACACACATACATACATACACACTCACGTTCAAACACACATACATCCATACATACATACATACACCCATAAACCTACATACATACACACATACAGCCATACATCCAAACATTCATGCATGTATGCATGCATACCGACATACATACATACATACATACATACATACATACATACATACATACATACATACATACATACACACATACATACATACATACATGCATGCATGCATGCATGCATGCATACACACATACATACATACATACATACATACATACATACATACATACACATACATACATACATACATCCATCCATCCATCCATCCATCCATCCATCCATCCATCCATCCATCCATACATACATACATACATACATACATACATACATACATGCACAATCATACATGTATGCATGCATACATGCATGCATCCATGCATACATGCATACACACATATGCATACATACGTGTGTAAATATGTATATATATATATATATATGCATACATACATACACACAGTCAGACAGACAGACAGACATACATATATGCGCACACATCTACATACATATGTGTTTGTGCATGTTCGGGGTCTGCGCGGATTTCTCGAAGGGCGCTGGACCCCGCTCTCCCGGCGCGCGGAGCGCACCAGGCGGCGGCGGATGCGCCGCCGGCGCCGCCAGGGCGGGCACAGCGGCGACCCGAGGAGTCCGCGCTGAGCTCCGACAGTTTCCGTTTGCCGTTCATGCTGCCCCTCGACTCCGAGAGGGCAGGGGCTCCGCAGAAGGGCTGGGGCCGCCGAGACCTCCACGACACGCCTCGACAGCACTGATCTGTGTCAGGAGCTGGCTGCGTGAACTGCCAATGCATCTGCGCGTCGGGGCTTGATGCATTGAGCGCGATGTGCTTGATGCCCCCCCCGCTTATTCGATGCTGGGCAGCGTAAGATCTGCCCAACCACCCGCCCCCAGAACGCGCCTCAAGCTGAATCGACATGCAGGAGGGCAAAGGGGGGGGGGGGCGACACCGACAGGGGAGGGGGCTCCAACAACGTTTGCGGTCTGTTGTGCGAGGCGGGGATTGATCCGTCACCACCGCCTGTTCTGCGAGACCTTGGCGAGCGGTGGATGTGGACATGCTTGTCCCTGGTCCAGGCACTAATATATTCTTAGGTCGGGCCTGTCCCCCTACAGGGGGATTTTGGACGAAAAAAAAAAACGCCAAACACGCGCGCGCTTCGCGCGCGCTTAGGTTCTAGCTAGGAGGCGAGCTTGAGTCAACGAAAGTCGCAGGGAAGGGGGCAGGGGGAAGAAGGCCAGAGAGCGCTGAAGGATACAAATACTGGAACCCTCTTGTGATTTTGTGGGGGGCCTCGTCCGGCCGCTCGCTGGGAGTTTGACGTAGCTTCTCGGGAGCCTCTGAACCTGTCGGGGGCCTCCTGGAAGCAGGTTCGAAGCATTTTGGGGGCCGATTTGGGGCTTCTCGGGGCCTCCTTTGGGCCTCTTGGGGGTCTCCTGGGGCCTCTTGAGGGGCCTCCTTGGGGCCTCCTGGCGGCCTCTTGGGGCGGAAGGCTCGAGCTTGCGGTTCGTGGTCCCCCTCTGGGCCCCCTCTTGGGCCCGTCTTGGGGCCCTCTTGGGCCATCTTGGGCGCCTCTTGGGCCGTCTTGGGGCCCTCTTGGGCTGTCCTGGGGCCCTCTTGGAAGCTTCTTGGGCCGTCTTGGGGCGGTCTTGGAGGCCTCTTGGGCCGTCTTGGACGCGGTGAAAGCCCAAGATGCGAACATGCGAAAAATATACGTTTTCCCATAGGAATGGCACGATTTTTGTTTCTTGGACCTCTCTTGGGGTGCCTCTCGGAACGTCTTGGGCTGATTTTGGGAGCCTTTTGGCGCCTCTGGGCGGCGTTTTGGCGCCTCCTGGGATATGTTGGGCCGGAAGCTCGGAATTCGAGAGTGGCTTTCTCCTTCTGGGACCCCTCTCGAAGTCGTCTTGGGGTTCTCTTGGGCCGTCTTGGGGCCGTCCTGAGCCACTCGTGCGCAGCCTTGGAGCGCTCCCGGAGGCCTCCTAGGCCGTCTTGGAGGCCTCTTGGGCCGTCTTGGACGCGGTGAAAGCCCAAGATGCGAACATGCGACAAATATAGGTTTTCCCATAGGAATGGCACGATTGTTGTTTCTTGGACCTCTCTTGGGGTGCCTCTCGGAACGTCTTGGGGTGCTTTTGGGAGCCTTTTGGCGCCTCTTGGCGGCATTTTGGCGCCTCCTGGAGCCTCTTGGGCCGGAAGCTCGGAATTCGAGGTTGGCTTTCTCCGTCTGGGACCCCTCTCGAACTCGTCTTGGGGCTCTCTTCGGCCGTCTTGGGGCCGTCCTGGGCCACTCGTGCGCAGCCTTGGAGCGCTCCCGGAGGCCTCCTAGGCCGTCTTGGGCGCCTCTTGGGCCGTCTTGGACGCGGTGAAAGCCCAAGAGGCGAACATGCGAAAAATATACGTTTTCCCATGGGAATGACACGATTTTTGCTTCTTGGGCCTCTCTTGGGCTGCCTCTCGAAGCGTCTTGGAGGCTTCTGGGACCTTCTTGGTGTCATGACAGGCGCCTTGGAAGGCATCTGGAGCCATCGGAGCGCGTTCCGAAGCCGCCTGCGAACGATCTTGGACGGCGTCCGGCGGTCCGACGAGCCTCCGGACCCCCCGGGGCCCACATTTGTGGTCGGGGTCCCGGCCCCGGGCCCCCGGACCCGGTGCGCCGTTGTATGTATATATCGGAGGTGAGGGGGTGAGATCGAAGTGGAACGGAGAGCCCCCGTACCGGGAAATCGATTTCGGTTTCGTGTTCGTGCGTGCCGCGCGTGCGGGAGAGGCGAAGCTGCGTGGGCGGGCGAGAGGAAAGTCTCCTGTGGCTGAGGCGCGGCCGGACCAAATGATTCTCCACCGGGCGGCCGGTGGCGCGCGGTGTCCCGCCGGTGTCCCGGTGGCTTCCTCTGTGGCCATGGCTGAGGCGCGGCCGGACCAAATGATTCTCCACCGGGCGGCCGGTGGCGCGCGGTGTCCCGCCGGTGTCCCGCCGGTGTCCCGTCGGTGTCCCGTCGGTGTCCCGATGATGATGATGTTGTTGTTGTTGATGATGATGATGATGATGATGATGATGTTGGTGCTGATGATGATGATGATATCGATAGAGAGACCGAATGTGATATCGATAGTGAGACCGAATGTGAGATCGATTGTGAGATCGATTGTGAAATCGATAGTGAGACCGAAAGTGAGATTGATTGTGAGATCGATTGTGGGATCGATAATGAGATCGATTGTGAGACGATTGTGATATCGATAATGAGATCGATAGTGAGACCGAATGTGAGATCGATCGTGAGATCGATAGTGAAATCGAATGTGATATCGATAGTGAAATCGAATGTGAGATCGATGGTGAGGTCGATAGTGATATCGATAGTGAGATCGATAGTGAGACCGAATGTGAGATCGATAGTGAAATCGATTGTGAGATCGATTGTGAAATCGATTGTGAGATCGATTGTGATATCGATAATGAGATCGATAGTGAGACCGAATGTGAGATCGATTGTGAGATCGATTGTGAGATCGATAGTGAGATCGATAATGAGACCGAATGTGAGATCGATTGTGAGATCGATAGTGATATCGATAGTGAGATCGATAGTGAGACCGAATGTGAGATCGATAAGGAAATCGATAGTGAGACCGAATGGGAGATCGATAGTGAGATCGATAGTGAGACCGAATGTGAGATCGATAGTGAGATCGATAGTGATATCGAGAGTGAGATCGATCGAGTGCGACGTTGGTCCCTCCCCCCCCCTCACCTCCTTATCACCCGAAGGGTGGTCGTAGAGGTACACACACTAGAACAACGCGCGCTACGCTTGAACGTAGGTTCTAGCCGACCCCGGCGAGGGTATTAGGTGGCACGGGTCCGGACCCGTGGTTTCATCCCAAGCGCCCTAACACTCTATCACACGATCGCCTGAGCTGGACACCCCAGCCCGAACACCCGAACTCTAACGCCCTAGCGCCAAAACGCTATAGCCCGAACCCTAACTCACGCGCCCCTACTTACACCCGAACCTGGACACCCTGATCCTGACAACATAATCCGATTACCCAGCCGGAATTCCGAACCCCTACACCCAACCTCAACACCCCTACGGTAACACCGTGAACCTCCACAATAACACCCTAACCCTCGTACCCTAACTCAAACACCCAAGCCCTGGCACCCCTACCGCGTGCCGAAATTCTAATTGTTTTGATTTCCCGTCTTCGTCCGAACCCACCGACCACTGGGAATCATTTCGTATCCCGCCGCTCTCCCAACGCAAGAAAGCCGCAAGAGGGCATTCAAGACGGCCAAGATGGCCTCCGAACAAAAATCACCTGGCCTGAAGAGGCCCCGAACATGTCTGTCTCCAAGACTGCCCAGGATGCACCCGCGACAGCCCAAGATGCGCCCACGATGGCC